CAGCGTGCACAGATTCAGAAAGAACTTTGGAGAATTCAAGATGTCATGGAAGGATTGAGTAAGCACAAACAGCAAAGAGGCACTACAGAAACAGGTAAGGCAACTTATTGTATTTTATTCTGCAGTAATTGACCATAATATTATATCTAAAGTGGAATGACACACAGAATTGGGTTACTTCTGGTATTTTAATGGATTTTGCTGTCAGAAAACAGGTACTCTTCTTTTTAGCATTGAATTGGTACACAAGTTTAATAAAGTAAAAAGCAAAAGTTATGCCAACTTCATCCACTCAAAAATAAATCATAGTTTTATATGTATTATAATTATAAGCACACATATAGGATTTTGATTTTAGGAGTTTTTCCCCCCTAAAACAAAAAATGGAATCATAGTATACCTGTTTCCTTAACTATAATACAGTAATAGCTGTGTTAAGAATTCATTGTATAGATGAACTATAATTTATCTATCCACTCTGTGTGGATGAACATGTTTTCAAGTTTGGGGACTTGTTTGGGTTTGTTTTGTTTTGTTTTCCCTGTCATAAGCCATTCTATAATGAACATTATTGTGTATGTAACTAAACACACATGCTAGTACTTAATGTATTCGAAGAAATGGGAAATGAGCACAAATTTTCCATTTTGATAGACACAGTCAAATCGTCCTCCTAAAAGACTATAACAAAATGTACTCACACTGATAAATGTTTGAGAAAACCCATTTCCCCATACTCTTATTTAAACTAGTTGTTTTAATTTATATTTTTTAATGTAATTGGGTTCAAATTCTGAAAACAATAAATGAGGGATTAAAAACTGAAGACTTTATTAAAATAAGTGAAATGAAATTATTGCTTTTTTTCTATATATTTAGAAAGATATATTTAGTATAAGTTGTTTTATTTTTTTAACAGGTATGGCAGTATCAAAGTCTTTCTCAACAGTTAAGTCCAAAAATGAGGTAAGTTTGGATTGTTTGTCCAACTATAAATTGTTTTAAATGTTTGAAACATGAATTAGAGTTGTCTTCTTTACTCATAACAAAATGTTTTCTAAGTATATTTAAGTTATTGTTTTAATCTTGCAATTTCACCGGTTCAGTAATTTGGTACTTCTAACAAATGCGATTTTTTTTTCCCTTTTCTTAATGCAAAAAAAAAAAAAAAAAATTGAATTTTTTTTAATCTGTGTTAGAACATTAACATTGTCATGCTTTTTCTAATGTAAGTTATTTGAATATTATTGTTTCTTATATTTGGTAAAAATTTGTGGGATAATTAAGTTGGTTGTGTGTCATGCATACCATAAAAAAATTACAACTGCAAAGAGATACTGTCAATCTAATTGAAAGCATTTGTGGTCTTGAATTTTGTATAAAATCCAATCAAAAAGAAATGTTTTTCCTCCTAAAAATCGCAAAACAAAAACAAAAACAAATAGCCAGTGAGATTTTCAAATTAATTTTTTTCTCCTATTTTTAAAATGGGATACTGTAGTTTTATACATCCGTTTTGATGTTGAGCTTCAGAGTAAAGCTAACCTGTGTGTTACAAAAAAAGTTAGATACAACTTTATTTAAAACCCAGTTATTGGCCATTAAACATTTTTGGTTTTACTTTTCAATATGAAACTTTTGGCTTGGCAGTGTCCCTTTATGTTAAAGCTAATTTAAGGTTAACTTACCATTGCAAAGAATTTAGATATCCTTAATTCAATATGCTTATCTAAATAAGGTGACTATTCTACAATCTTTAGGAAGAGGAAGTAGTCCCACCTCGTCCTCCACTTCCTCGGTCCTATGACTTTACAGAGCAGCCTCCCATAATCCCCCCTCTGCCCAGTGATAGCAGCTCCTTGCTCTGTTATAGCAGGGGCCCAGTCCATCTGCCTGAAGAAAAGAAGATTCATCAAGTTCAAGGATATACAAGAAATGGATCTCACTGTGTAAGTGGCTATAATAGCCACAGAATAGTCAATCATACATGCCCTCTCATTTTTAAAAGTGAATTTATTTTACATTCAGACTTGTTTTTATTATAACATCACTTTTAGCCAGTGCTTTTTTGTTTATCATGTTATCATTTTGTTTTTCCTGTTTTGATTTTACCATTTCATTTTTTAATTTCACAATTTTAATAATCTTTCATAATTTCATAATTTCCATAAATGTCATTAAATGGTTACTTTTCATTTGTATAAGGAGTCATATTTTAAATATACCATTTCAGGATATCAGAGGCAAAATGAAATCTTTAGATCAGAAAGAAGCAAGAAAAAGTAAGATAGTTATTAGGAATGATAGCGAATTGGATTGTGATCAGTTCAGTCTAGGAAAACTTAGAGAATGTGATCTTTGCCAAAGAGACGTTACTCATGAAAACTGGAAATAATAGGTTTGAGGCAAAACAAATAATGTAAAATGTAATAAGCAAGGGGAGGATAGGGTTAAAAGAAATGGGGCTGAGTTAATATTATGTAATTATTTTCAGACCTCAGTTATACTATGATAAAAATGTTCTAATGACTTTGTCCCTAGGAGGAATAATCTTAATTTTGAAACCAAAACATTTACCGGTTTAAAATACTTCAAATTCTTTTTTTTCTACCTTAGTTGTAACATATATCTTAATTGTGTTATCCCCAAGTTAGCTGACTGAGGCTTTTAATTTTTAGAGCTTGATTTGAGTCTTTAGAGGTAAACATTTTAAAAGAAACTTTTAGCAATTTTTTTTTTTGTAATTACATATCTTTTCAAGGGTCCAGATTATAGACTCTACAAGAGTGAACCAGAGTTAACAACAGTGGCAGAAGTTGATGAATCTAATGGAGAAGAAAAAACAGAACCTGTTTCAGAAATGGAAACTTCAGTTAAAGGTCAGCATTTGGGATATATTTTAGCTCTGTGTTTAAACTGAATAAGTTCAGTTTACATGTTAACCCAATACATTTACCTTCTTTTCTTTACAGGGTTGTGGTTGGGATATATGATCTATTAAGTATATTAAATTTTATAATTAATTTTTTAACATCATCTGTTAATCTGTAGAACTTTATTTCTAAATCTAACCCTAAATTTGTCTGGTAGTATCATTGTCTGGCTTCTTAGGTAGAATACCTAATGGAAGGTACTTCATTTTCCCTTGCTCTTTTTGAATAAGAAATTTGCATTTGCATTTTAAAGTCCTCAGAAATCGAATATGTCAAAAGAACCAATGTTGTGTGAGATGGTCTCTCGAACTTATTGCTGTTTTAATTTCTAGGTTCCCACTTTCCTGTTGGAGTAGTCCCTCCAAGAACAAAATCACCAACACCTGAATCTTCAACAATAGCCTCATATGTAACCTTAAGGAAAACTAAGAAGATAATGGATTCAAGAACGGTATTAATTTCTAGAAGGATTCTCAAACCTATTTATTTATTTTTTATATGTTTCTATTTTTAGTGTTTTATCAAAAAAATTTACATTGTCTATGACAAAATTTAGTTATCTTTTTAAAAAATTATATTCAAGGAATTAGCACCTCAGAGAACAGACCTACTTAATACATAATTTAGGTTTCCTTTGATCGGCCTTGACTGCAGGCTTCATCCACAGTTTGTGGAACCTATTCTCAGATAGCGTTGTGGGATTTTTAAACAGAGAGACAGGACACCGAGGCTGTAAGCAGGAAGCAGCATTTATTGATGCTGGCACCAGCTCAGCAGATTCTTATCCAAAGGCTGAACCCCAGTTGTAACATGGAGGGCAGTTTTATACAATCTTGTACTTCTGCATTCCTACACAGCTACAGATAAGGCAAACATTGATTGGCTGCCAAACTATAAGGAAACCGGCTTAATCATTTAAGCAGGTTTTTGGACTGCCATGTCAGTCGGGGAAGGGACGAGGGGGCACAGTCAGGAACGAACTTGTTCGAGCAGGAAGTGGCCAGGCAGGGTCAGGCTGCCACAATAGCTTCCTTGTATTACATCTCCTGACATTTCTAAGATTGTCCTTGATGAGAGTGATAGACGTGTCCTGTGGTTACCCATGTTAATGGAATCCCAAGCTAGGCTGAATTTGCATGGCCCTTCAGCTATGGTAGACTTGGAGTTTGCCAAACATCCAGTTACTCTAGGAAGTTTGAATTGGGTTTGGGAAATAAATCCTGTATTTCACACTTTCATCTGAGATCCATTTAATTCAAACTGGCTCTAAACCAGTCTAATCTTGCACTTCAGGGTACTTCCCTCTCTTTGTACCAAATAGTTTTAGAATTTTGAGCTGCAAAAGAACTTACACAGTTCAGACCAGAGGACACAAAGAAACATATGGATTCTATTCTATGCTCTAATCTGTAGCTCCTAAAATATGTTTAATCGTTAAAAGTTCTATTATATAAAATAAGCTAAAATTTTCTTATAACTAATTATTGAATTTTTTTTTTTGTTTTTTGGATCTTATACCAATATCGTGTTACATTTTTAGTGAGAAAGTAAGAATTGGTTGTTTAATGTGACATTTTTTTTTAAACCTTCATTATGAACCGTAAAAATGAGCTGTGTATACAATGTTTTCAAATATAACCCTCTGATTTATGGAAAATATATCCATAGGTTTATTATTGATCATCAACCAAGGATAGTTTTTCTACTAGTCTTTCACAGTACATATGTAACTTAAAAACATGACATTTTCATTAAAATAAATCACTGCTTTTTAGAAGCTGTGTTCCCTTTTTGTCCTAATTTGAATTTTAATACAATTTCCTATTTCAGGGCCATGGGGTAGGATCATTCCAGAGCTATCATACCTTCGTGGTTCTTTTGGGTTTTTTTTTGTTTTTGTTTTTTTTTAATTCCCTCACTAGTTTCTCTTCTTTCTCTCCTACCTCTCCTCTTTTCTCTTTCCATCATTGACCATGCATCACCAGTTACCAGTTAAGGATAAAATAGCATTTCTGGTGTTATCTAAATGATATTCGAAACCTCCACTTTTGATTCTGAAGACAAAAGAAATGCATTTTAGGACATTTTTTATTCCAGCATACTTTCAGAAGTTTTTCAGTGTCTTTGTGTTTATATGTTTATTTTTAATTTAAAGGAGAGACCAAGAAGTGCAGTGGATCAGCTCTGTTTAGCTGAAAGTACTCGACCTAGAATGACGGTGGAAGAACAAATGGAAAGAATAAGGAGACATCAACAAGCCTGCTTAAGGGAAAAGAAAAAAGGATTAAATGTTATTGGTGCTTTAGACCAGTCACCTTTACAAAGTCCTTCAAGTTTAAAGGATAATTTATTCAGGATTACCCAGGTATATCAATTGCATTTAATCATTCTTGTGTGAAAATCTAATATCACTTGAATCTTAGAATCATAGTTACATATTTTATGGGTTTTCAGATAACTACAAGATGAATAGTTATTTTATATTATTTAACTTTTATAATAATAAGTAAGCTAAGACAGCTTAGGAAAATGAAAATTGCTCCTTTCCCCCTTTGTGGACTTAATCTCCTCTATTGTAAATCAGATAATGATTCAGCTTTCCCTATCTACTTCACAGAGATACTGAAAAGATAAAAGTGCTTTTAGCAAATATAAAATGCCTTGCAGGCTACCAAGATAGTCCCTAATTCCCCTCCCAATATGTGTATTACTCTGTCCTAATTTAACATGACCTAGATTGTAGCAGGAGAGAGCTTCTAAATAAAAGTTATGCTATTCATCACATTTCAACTTCGCCTTATAGAGTGGCACCATTCCATTACTTATTATTGTTACCCCAGTTCATGTAGAACCAACTAGCAGACCTTTTCAGTAGCTTCATTCTAGTCTATCCCTATTAATAGACATGAGTCAACTGAAAGTGCTTCCTTGTCTTCACAGAAATTCCCTTTCATCTAAGCAAGAGCAGGCATTGCTAACGGAGATGCAACTTTTTAACAGTTGAATTAACTTCACATTCTACAAATTACAACATGAACGATTTAAAATAGATGAGGATTTTAAAACATATGAAATAGTATCATATGTTAATATGCTACATACAATATATAATTAATGTGTATATATATATATACTGATATATATTAAGTATGTGTATATATACGTGTGTGTGTGCGTGTATGTGTATGTATATATGTATGTGTATCCTCTGTTGATTTTCATAAGGAAACTTCCTTGTCAGTAAAGATCTAGTTTTTTTTCAAAATTAACAGGTGCCATCTAAATAGCAGTATAGTATGAATCTAAGAATGCTATATATCTTTTGGACAGACTCGAAGGAAAGATGACAACATTAAGGAACTAGACCCTGTCATTAGAGAAAATGACGTAAAACCAAACCATGAAACTCCTGCGGCAGAAATCGTTCGACTAAAAGAAGCTGAACCTCAAAATACGGATTTCAGCAAAGAGGTAGAGAGGTTATTTAGGACAGATATTCCAAAGGGGTAGATTTTTGAAGATTAGATCAAGTGGTAATATTTCATTCTGTCACAGAAGCCAAAGATCTAAGTGAAATGATCAGTTATAGATAATTTGGTTGATTTAAAACTTTAATAAAAGACCAGTCAAGGCTGGAATTAATTATTGTTAACCCAATTAGAGAATCTTACATCCCAAAACAACTAGCTAATAGCAATGTGCTTCATCCCTTTGGCTAAATAACTTTTTATCCCACTAGTGAAGAATGTTAATATTTTTAATATACTTGAATCTAAATTTATATTTCATAGACATTTGACAGGGTATGATTTTTTAATAAACTTTTATTTGAAAATCATTTTAGATTGTCTAATATTAAATGTGGTGTGAAAGCTTTGAAAGAGAAAATTTTTCTTTATTCTTTAGTTAAAAAAAACTGAAAATGTTTTTTACGAAACACATTTCAAACCTGAGCCAAATGGAGTAAATTCTGAGGAAGTGATGGATAAAGAAAGAAACAAAGAAAAAATACCTGAGGCTGTTTCATACAGGTAATCATTAAGGAAAACAAATAATCAAAAGAATCATTCACAAATTTGTATAACTGCTTAAAAATGGTGAACTTTGGAGTCAAAAAGTCCTAGATCCCAGTCCCCATATAGCTACTTAGGAATTGCAGGTCTTAAGCAAGTTATAAAACTTTCTTACGCTGCAGATTTCTCACTTGTAAAAATAGAGATATTGGTAGTATCTGTCTCACGAGTGTGCTTTAAGGATTAAATAAGAAAATAATGTATAGCACCTAACACTGCCTCGTTAGCACCTGTGAAGTACTCAATAAATACTTTTTTTTTAAATGCCAAAGGCACATAAGCTGTAGCAAAGTAAGCACCTCAGCATTGCTTACATAATGACATACTTTAATCAGAAGTCTAAGTTGTCTGATAAGTGTTCCAGAAATTACAGTGATTTGCTATTTATTTTTTAGCTGTGTTTGTTATCTAGCCTTCTTAAGCGTATATCTTCACTCTACCTTCCCTTAAAAAATTACCAGTGCTGGTAAAGAGAAATGCTATGATATAATGTTATTAGAAATGACTTTATCTCTTCAACGAATAGCATGATTGAATTTGAAAAATATTTGGCAATAGCTAATAAAAAAAAATCTGCTGAATTTTTGTTAATAGGCATAGATTGAAACACATCCAATATATTAAAACTCTATGCATTCATAATGATCCAACAACAACAAAAAAATAATTTGTTGGCCAATCTGGGCAATGTTAAGGAATTGACTTATTATTCCAAAACTTAATACATACAGGGAAAGAATCAAATATTTATCTCGCCTTTCCCAAACAGTAGCCGAAGAGTTCATGAGGAAATATTTTCCTATTTAGAATAATTTCACTCAATTAGGAATGAGAAACTTAGACTCTAACTGCTTTCCTAACCCTAAGGAAATAATGAAATTGAATAATACCCCTCAGCAGCCGCTAAAGCTGTTAGGTGAAAAAAATCTGAGAGGGAACTTTCAATGAATGGATCAAGCTGATAACCCCTGAACTCATTGATCATTTTTAACATCATGGAAAGTGACAACGTGTTAATGCAATAGTGCATGACACCACCTGATGAAATATTACTTGCCTTCCTTCCCCCAAAACTTAAATCTGACCAAGCCTCAAAATCATAGCAGTTTATTAAAGATATAAGGAATACAATCATCAAAATCTAGAATATGGTAAACTATGCAGGACAGATAAACCAGTTTCTTCACAGATAAGTGGCAGAGACTTAAAGGGGTGTGTGGGGTGGGGTGTTTTAGATTAAAGTAGAGTTTAAGACACTTGTCAGGCAAATATACTGTACAGACTTTGGATCCCGATTCAAATATAACAATGATATTATGAGGCAGTCAGGTAAATTTGAACGCTGATTGTATATTTGGTGGGTATTATAGATACAAACTAAAGTATTTACAGATTAAATGATATATCTGGAATCTGCTTTAAAAATAATTTGGGGGTTTAGATGAAACAAAATTGGCAAAATGTAGATAATTATTGAAGCTTGGGGCATAGGTTTCATATTATTCACTCTAATATGTTTTATGTTTGTAATTTTCATAAGAAGGGGAAAAAAGAAAAGAGATCAATTGCAAGCAAATGTTAGATGTAAAATATAGATGATGGCATCTTTTCTATACGGTTAAAAAATTGTTTATAACAATAAATTGGAAGAAAAAATTAATAGCATTCTATAATAATTTTTAAAATGTCACTATTTTCATTAGCCCTCAAGATGAAACACAGATCACAAATCATAAATCAGAAGGCCACTCTGAAGAAGATACAAAGGACAGTATTCATGAGCAGGAAGAAAGTGTTGTTTCTTATGAACTAACTCCTGAGGCTTCTAGAGGGAACCAAACAATGGCAGGTAGATATTACACATTTCATAAATTTCTCACTGGTGCTTCCTCTGAACCTCTGAATTTATTTCCCATGTAGTGATTCTAGCAAGAAAGCCACTGAAGTATTTTGATTACAAATTAACCTTTTGCCTTTCCATAAACACCTTCAGGAGGGATGCAACTGGGAAAAGGAGGAAAGGGTGACCTCTGTCAACCCAACCAGATCCACACAGATGCTGTTGTGGCTTGGAATCAGTTCATTCATTTTTGCTTTTGGTTTTGCTTTTAATCTTAACACGTACCATAAATTTTTTCTAATAAGAATATCCTTCATTACTTGGAAAATTTACCCGTTTCTCTGAGGGTGGATTCTCAGTGTTCACAAACCCACCACTTTGGGATCTATGGAAGACTGAAGATCTAAACTGGCAGAACGGATTTGTTTGTTCTCACTCCTATTATAGTAATGGATTATAATCCACATCTGGGGTTTTCTCTGATAATAGAAGATTGTCATCCATAGCATGTTAAAAATTAAAATTTTCTATGCTCTTTTTTGATATTTTTTGGACTCTTCATGTATCTTTTTTTTTTTCCTTTATTTTTCTTGAGGATTTTTGGTGAGGGATGGGTATAGGGGGTCATACCACTAGTGCATTTAATCAGCTTTGTTTCTCAAAAATCATTCCTAGCAATCCTTCCTCCCATCCCACCCCATCCCCCAATCATTTTTCAGAAAGATAACTACAATGATGTTCATTTATTCAGGATTGTTCTTAGGTAGAGCATTGTCTGTGTCATATATATATATATATGTATATACATGCAAATTTACATCATCGTGTCCCCTTGTAACCAATATTAAGCACTCTCTTTTCCTTTGTCTCTATCTTTTATAAGGTGATATACACAGAAATTCTCACTTTTTTTTTTAAATTGTCACTGACAACTCTCAATTATTGTTGTGGCAGGTCTCAGTCAAAGTGGTGTGTTAGGTATATTAAAAGCACAACATCTGTAGAGTTTAGTTGCATGGAACTAAAAAGGCTTTTAAGAGTGAGACCCAACAAGAGTAATTCACTGATAGACACCTGAAAATTGACTTCAATACAAAACGAAACAAAAATTTTTTTTCTTCAAATTTTATTAAGATATAATTGACATGTAACATTGTATAAATTTAAGGTATACAAGGGAAAAGAATGCTTAAACAGTCTTCAAGAGACATTTTATACTGAACAGTCAGTTCCCAGATTACTAAATAACAGAACTCAAATACAACTAATTCCTTCTCGAAACGTGTTCTTATTGTGTGGAGTCACAGCATTAGATTTTCTTCCCCAAGTGTGTCTTAAAGATTTTTATTTTCTTGGTATGTTTTAGTGAAAAGTCTGTCCTCGTCGCCTGAGTCCTCAGCATCACCGGTTCCATCCACTCAGCCGCAGCTCACAGAAGGATCACATTTCATGTGTGTGTAGTCTCAGAAGTACGTTTCCCTTTGCATTTGTACTTTACCTATAGAATTTCTGACTGGAATTTTATTCATTTGTTAGTTTAGTGAATAAAAACAGATTAATTTTGGACTGTGGGTTATGGATAGTTGGCAGAGCTAGTAAGTAGGCCATGTATTTGAACCATGAGCAGTAACTCACATTTCCAACATTGGTCCTCCCAGTGATTTGCTACGTGACAGCATTTTCTCTGTCTCTTATTTCATCATCTTTAAAAACAGCAAAAGTTAGAGGGTATGTATGGCCTGTGCCAAGACAAGCCTCACAGTGTTTTGCAGCTGTGTTCCCACTTAATGTTCCTTTCCATAGTCAGATCTGAGAATTCTGTTTAAGTCATTACATGTTGATTGAGTAATGTTTTTTATAGTTAGTGTGACATATCGACTGCATTGGGAGTTTGTTAATTATTTTAAAGGACAAAGAAATGTTTATGGTATGGCTAGATAGATGGAATATTTTAATCTTTAATATCTATCAAATTACTTCTAAATATAATATTAAGTCAGGGAGACAGCTACTAAAATAGCCATGGATTGGGACAAGGAGAAGGAGAAAGCCTTTCTTGAATAATGTTCTTTAGACCACAGTTTCAAAGCTGAAAATAATATCTTGTGGTCTTACTTTAAAATTTTATACAATCACAAAATTCTGCCTGCACTTTTGTACATAACACACTTTTTTCTCTCACAGTATCTATGAGATCTAGTAATGTTTTGTGCTTTAGGGTCACCACCAATTTCTTTGTTATACAATTAAAAGCAGAGAAAAAACTTAGGGACTTTATGAGCATTGTGACTAACACATTCTCTAATTTTTAGATTCTCAAATAAGTACAAGTACTAACCTGACTACATTTATTCAGTAGTGCTTTTTTCCTAAAATCTACTTCCATTCATACCTTTTTGTAGCAGCTATAATCTGTGCCCTTGCTTTCAGCCAAAAAGATTTATGTTTAACTGTCTTGTCATATTTGTAACTTTTATTTGAGATTATGTCAACCTGCAGCCTGGAAGAGGGCTTTGTTTGCTGTCAGTTGGGTATCGGTGCAGGATTGACATCCTTTTTGGAATTACAAACAACCTATTTGTTATAGTCTTACCTGTGTCTTGCCTCTGTCACTCATATATTTAAACTTTTAACTTAATATGTTCAGAAATGACAGTTGCCATTAGTGACAGAATAACGGCAGACATAGGAATAATAAACACCGTGCTCATTTGATTGCTGTACGAAGAGTTGATCAATGGCCTCTGTCTATCTTAGTGGAGAAATATACGTTAAAAGCCACTCTCCTTATCTTTTGGTTCCATAAACAGGTTACAATTCATTGTACATAGACCATTCTGATAATAAAGAATGTTCACAGTTAAAACTTGAGTACATTTCCAGGTTCCTTAAGTTGTTATTATTGGATTTTGTTCTGTTTTACTTTTATTCCAAGAGCCAGTGGCATTACATACTAGAATTAGGTATAGTTATTGCCAGATATTTTCCAGTCTTGTGGCTTGCAGCCACCACAAACTAGTAGTAACACTCAAACTTATTTTATATCTTCCTATTGTTTATATGTCATCTTTCTAATAGTAATTTTGACAGAACTTAGGAAAGTTTTACAAATGACACTACTGTGTAGGTAGCTTAATATATTCTTAAATATTATAGTGAAGTTATGCACATCTTTGCTCATCTTGTTGATCTTTTGGATTTAGCCACAAATTTGAGTACATTTTTATTCCGAATTATTGTTTGATTGTATTATGTTTCTTTGCTTTGTGAGTTAAGCTTATGGAAATGAAGAGAAAAATGTCTTTTAATTGTATTATGTTTTAGGATTTTCATGGCCATGCTTGTCAGTTGTATTTGTTACAGAATGTCACCCTCAGTTACTTTAGGAAATGGTCGTTCATTAACTTGCAGTTGTCAAAGTAAATTTCCCTCTCTTTACTTTTCAGCTATACTGACTTCTGTTGAAACCATTCAAACTTAAGGACATGACCTTCAGCAATGTGAGAAGATATTGTACAGTATATTTTAAATCTATGAAATTCATAGTTCTGATGCTTTTGGCCACAGAGCATCACTTTATCACTTCTGGAAAATGTTTATTCCAAAACAGCTTTAATGGCTCATATGTACACTCTGTAATCTCAAGGTTATTATTCTGACACCAGCTTGCTGCTATGATTTCAGAGCACATAAGTAAAGGTGCTTTTTCCTGTGCGGTCTCAGCCAGAGCTTACATAGTTGCTGATATCCAGATTTTGATGTTTCTAAAGTCTAGGTGGAGTTATATTTTTTCTTTTCAGTACATCAATTTAGTTATTTCCAATGAAGCTTGTTTTCCCTTTTTTTTCCTCTTTGTTCCCATTTCGGCTACTGCAATGCTTTGTTTCACACTTGATTTGTAAAAATTTTATATATAT